ACTTAGAAGCCATGCCCAATAAAAGTGAAAGTTTTATATAGAGATGAGAACATATAGCCAAAAGGCCAAGAAAAACATAATAGTTATTATAGCACATGAAACAAATAGATTTTCAGTATAATTATTTACTAAATAGTTTTAAAATATACTAGTATTATTTTTTTGTCAAACCAACTATACCCACAAAATAGAAGGCAAAATTTAGGATGAGAAGACGAGAAAGCCCAGTAGAGAGCAGCCAACGCTCCTGACGGTTATTTCTACACATTTGGTTTCTCGTTTCCTCCGCCCCTTTCTTGCCTTTTTATCTCCTTCAATTCTACAATCATTCATCTCTTACTCACATTTCTTGATTTCTTGTAATTCATCCATGGCGACGTCTTTCTCTGCAACAAAAGTTTTGCAACCTTTGCCCCTTAACTCTACTAGATCTGCTGAAAAGCCCCTTTTGTGTCAATCTCTAAAGGGTAGCTCCTCCTTTCTTGGATCATCTTCTCATAAGCTTTCCCTCAAGAAGACTTTCTATCCTCATCAATCTCAACGCCGATCCAATAATGCTGTTGTCGCCGTTTCTGATGTTGTTAAGGAAAAGAAATCAAAGTCCAAATCTTCTAGCTCCAATCTGGTATCTGCATTTTCTTGATTTTTTGCCCCTTCTCTGTTGATTTTGGCTTTGCAAGCTTAATTTTTCATTTGGATCATGCTCAATTTTTTTCTTTTGTAGCTCTTATCTTATTAATGTCTTTTTATGGCGATTTAGTGCTTGTTTGTTTAGATTTCTCGTATAAAAATTCTGTTGCTTACTAAAGATTCGTCCTTTTTTGGATCGTTAAGTCTTTTGAGTGTTCTTTGTGTTGATTTAGTGCTTATTTTTGAATCTGTCGTATGACATTGTAGTTGTTTGCATGATTCGGCTTGTTTGTGATTTTGTTAAATAGTTGTGTCTGTTGGTCCATTCCAATTTTGATAATTTTGGCATTTGCAAGCTCTTTTTTTTTTTTGTGTCATGCAACTTTTGACCCAGAGTAGTTATTGTGGTAATTTAGTGCTTAATCTTCTTAGAATTTCTCTTATAGCATGTAGTTGTTTGAAAAGATTCGGGATTCCGTGATTTTTACTCAATTATCTGTGTCTGTTGTTTCATTTAGTTGATTACTAAGGAGGAAGGATTGGTACTGTATGAGGACATGGTGTTGGGAAGAGCTTTTGAGGACATGTGCGCCCAAATGTATTACAGGGGTAAAATGTTTGGTTTTGTGCATTTGTACAACGGCCAAGAAGCTGTCTCAACTGGTTTCATCAAGCTCTTGAAGAAGGAAGACTCTGTAGTTAGTACTTATCGTGATCATGTCCATGCATTGAGCAAAGGTGTCCCAGCTCGTCAAGTGATGAGTGAGCTATTTGGGAAGACCACGGGCTGTTGTAGAGGCCAGGGTGGATCGATGCACATGTTTTCCAAAGAGCACAACGTTCTTGGTGGTTTCGCCTTTATTGGTGAGGGAATCCCAGTGGCTACAGGTGCTGCATTCACTAGCAAGTACAGAAGGGAGGTCTTGAAGGAGGCTGATTGTGATCATGTTACTCTGGCCTTCTTTGGTGATGGAACTTGCAACAATGGACAATTCTATGAGTGCTTGAACATGGCTGCATTGTGGAAATTGCCCATTATCTTTGTTGTTGAGAACAATCTGTGGGCAATTGGGATGTCCCACTTGAGATCTACTTCTGATCCTGAAATTTGGAAGAAAGGTCCTGCCTTTGGGATGCCTGGGGTTCATGTTGATGGAATGGATGTGTTGAAGGTGAGGGAGGTAGCAATGGAGGCTGTTGGCAGAGCTAGGAGAGGGGAAGGTCCCACTTTGGTTGAATGTGAGACCTACCGGTTCAGAGGACACTCTTTGGCTGATCCAGATGAGCTTCGTGACCCTGGTGAGTGTTCCATTTCCCTTCTGTTTCCTTGCTCAACTATTTTAAATTCTTCCAGTTTACTTGTGTTATTATCCTCAAGCCACTTGTTGCTGTTTCTTCGATACTGCTGCTTTTTATCTGTGTTACCCGACAATGATTGTAGCCCGTGTTTTCTAAGGTTTGGAAGGGTAAACCTTTAGTACTTAATAGAGAGCTATTAGTTGATCAAATTAACTTTAGGCAACTTGTCTGAGGACTCATTAAATGCTTTTGACTTACCTCTGGCATTTTTGTAGTGAATGCTGTGTGTAACCAAACAATTTCTTAGCACAGTGGCAGACCACTTCTTTGTAGTAATATGTCTGTACTATGACATGGCAGAAAAGTGGATAGAGTCATTTTGTATGAGAAGCCTCAAATTGGCTGATTGTGTTGAAACTGTTGAGATAGTGATTTATGTGCGCAAATGTGTAAATGTAAATGAGGAGCACATCTATTTGATTATTTATAGCTTCCATTTACACTTAGGCAGATGTTACATGAAGTATCTCAGGGACACCACTAGATGTATTCGCTTATCGAGATATACCTCCAAAACAAAAGGAACAAAAACACCAGAAAGGAGCTCTAATGCTCCAAAATTCCTTTGTAGAAATGCTGTAAGATATATGACCATGTACCATAAGAGAATGAGCCTTTTAAACTCTATTATCTTATTTTGTTGCACATGTACCCTTATATGTGATCCACATATTTGGAGGCAATTACGTCATTTCTTTGACCTTAATTTGTTCGTTTTGGTAGCTGAAAAGAATCACTATGCCACAAGAGATCCTATCACTGCCTTGAAGAAGTATATGTTTGAGAACAATCTGGTCAATGAAGCAGAGTTAAAGGCCATCGATAAGAAGATTGATGAATTGGTTGAAGAGTCTGTTGAGTTTGCTGATGCAAGCCCTGTTCCAGCTCGTAACCAGCTGCTAGAGAATGTATTTGCTGATCCTAGGGGCTTCGGAATTGGGCCTGATGGAAGGTACAGATGTGAGGATCCTAAGTTCACTGAAGGCACAGCTCAGGTCTAGTTCTCAAGGTTGTGCTGTGTGGACCTGCACAAGATGGCCTTCAGTCGTTGATGATAAGCAGGGTTTCTTTAGTAATTATTGATATTGATATTGATAGCACTCCTACACGTATTAATATCTTTCCCCATGAGAAAGATCTGAGGTTTAGTTACTTTATAGTTTCAGTTTTGTTCAGGTTTGTGTTCTCTTTATCTTGGACATTGTTTGTTAGTTGTTACTATTCATGAATGACAAAACCTGAAGGGCCTTGCATTCCTCTTTTTGCACATTCAATGGTTGTAAGTGGCTAGTCTCTTGGCAAGTCTTGTATCATTTGTTAAATTTCTTTCAACTTCTTAGCTCTGTGCCGTCAAGTTAACTCTACTTATTGCATCCTTGTAAAGCTGGGGATGAATTGTCTTCAGGAGACACCAGTTTGGAGGGTGCTATTGTTTATAATATTCATTAGCTGGTGTACATTGTTGATACTTGATACCAGTATTTACGTGTTTCTGCCAATATCATGGAGGCTATATCATTAAGTTTGCTCCTAAATTTCTATGGTCAAAATATTCCGGTGAAAGAGGTGTCTGTAGATCAAGTAGGTACTTGATCTTTAGTGGTCTTAGTTAAACAGAATGAAGAGGTGTATGGGGATTTATTAAGAATTCTAAGGTGTTGAATGACCAGGCCTGGTTATAGCGAAGAGCACGCTTTCGAGGGTGTGTTAATGCTCCTTCCATTAGCTATCTGTATTACTGAAACAGTGAAAGGGAGAGTAAAGAGTGCCAGTGGACTTCATCATGATTAGAAATTTTACTAGATTAGTAGATGTGTTTGAATCTTCAATGTGACATCAACTTGTGCATCTATGATTTTGACTTGTAATATGTAATCCAAGTGCACAGGTAGAAGTCCTGTCCTGGCTTTTGGTGGAGTTTTCATCAAATTCATTGTCCAATGGCTGTTTTATTTGTGCTGCATCTTCTCCTCAACAAACCTCAAGAGCAATGCTTCTTTGTTAGTAGAAGGAATCTGCTTTGATCCAGGCGTTTTCTAGATGCAGCAATATTTTAAGAAATTAGAATTTGTGGCATATATACTGAAAGAAGAAATAAGCACATGTAGATACCAAAGTAGGACACCAAAACACACACAAACCATTTCCAACTTTGGGTGTGCGTGCACAAGTAGATACTAAAACTTGTACAAGATTGAACAAGTAGACACATCACACATTCACATTCTATAATATGTCACGTAGAATGTGTGTCTACTTGTTCAATTTTATACAAGTTTAACTGTTTACTTGTGTACTCAAAGCATAGGTGAACCCAACATTTGAAGACGATGATTGACTTTGAGTGCAATGTTTGCTTTGTGCACTTTGCACCATGAGGTCGCATGTCAAAAATCTTCCAACCACCCTTACCAATAGATGGGATTCGAACCCAGGACCTTCAACATCAACCAGTTCACCAAGCATCTTAGTGTGCCTAAGAAAATAAATATTAATATCTTAAGGTTTATAAACTATATATACATAATTTTTCTGAAGTTAACGGGGTACATGCACCCACATCTTTCTACATAGGTTTGCTTCTGACTCGAAGTTGGAGAACATAAATGTCAATTAAAATCAAGTTAAATGACATATTTATGTATTATGCCAAAAGAAAAAGATATTGTTATGGTGGGGACTGGGGACTGGGGAGGGGATTGCCAAACACAAATATTTTATAAATAATTATTCTTTTGTTCCATTTTATGTGACACCCTTTTCTTTTTAGTCCGTCTCAAAAAAAATTCACCTTATTATAATTAGAAACAATTAAACTTTAAATTCTTCTTTTATTATCAATGAAATGTAATTTACAACCAAATAAAAATCTGAGAATTGCTATAGACCACAAGTTCAAAACTCTTCATTTTTTCATAAACAACTTATCGACTCAAATAATGCCATTTAATTTTGGGAAAAAGTAAAGCAAAGCTATTAAAACCGTACAGCTAGAGTTTGGCCTTCATAAGTAAGAGAAGCATCTGAAATGTTCCTAAACCTTAATTTGCTCAAAAGAAAAAGATTGATTTCAGAGGATTCGCCTTTGCAGTAGAATCATCCAAATTCTCGAATTAGGTATGGAGAGAGGAAGAGGAAAGTGGGGATCAGTATCTCGTGGTTTGATTCCTCTGCTAGGGCTGCATACAGTGAGTGAGTATTCCAGATTAGACAGAAAACCCCCTATTACTGCTGCACTTCTTGCCGCTAATACCATTATTTACTTGAGGCCCAAATTTATTCATCCTTTCCTCCCCACAATCGATCAAGTTTGGTTTAATCCTCACCTTATCCTCAAGGTAATCAACCCTTTTTGCCTTTTTGATTTTCACTGATGATTTTGTTTCTTGCTGGACACCATATGTGACTAAAGTTTGATTCTTTTGTTGTTTTTCTAGACGTTACTTAGCTTTTGGTATGGGTAGTTTGATACTAATAATATTATGGGTGTGTTTGGTACAAAGGAAAATGTTTTTCTTACTTATTTTATAGTGTTTGGTAAGTAAGCAAGAAAATATTATTCAAAGAGTATTTATATGTCATATAGCAAAACACTATGAGGCGGAATGGGATGGCGAGTGGGCGTTCGGGGGTGGGGATTGCAGGGATTGGGTTGGAAGAAGACAATAAACATGATATGTCACTTCTGCAACTTCTTTTCCCTACTTTCATTAGGGAAGTTGTTTTTGAGAGAAATATTTTTCCAAACATTTTGACCCACCATACATGGGAAAATTGGAAACCAAACACACCCTGTGCCTGAAAATTTTAACTAGATGGCAACCACGATGTTGTTTGATCACAGCAGAGAAGAACTGCTATTTCATATGTAAAATAATTTTTTTTTTGTAAAATAAGCTTAGCATGTGTAAAAGTTTTCTTAAATGTTGATGAACTTATATGGCTTCTATCATGGCCTAAAACACCAATTCCCTCTTTGAAGATAAAAGAAATTGCAGGTTTCTGCCCTCTAGCTGTAAAACTCTCGATAGAGTTATGTAGGATACAAATGATAAGAGACCCCTCTGTGCGAAGTGTGGTTATAGTATTCATTGGATGGATATATGAGTTTTTTGTCCAGAGTGGACTCATGAGTTTGTTGATAAATTGCAACTTATGTTGCTCGTACTTTTCAAAAATGTCGATGGGTGAGGGTTGGATACTCCAAAAGTAGTGCATTTTTGTAGAATTCGACACGGATACGGCAACATATTTGGAGAGTCCGAGCAACATAGGTTGCAACCAATTCAGAAAAATCAATTACTGTTAACTCTCTTACTTCCTGCTTAGTTTGTTGATTTATCACATTTCCATATTGTTGGTGCCCTCTGAGTAGATATTGCTTCTATGTAGAGGCGTATTCAGGAGGGGGTCACCGGGTTCACGTGAACCCATGCTCCCCTCCTGAATTCATATATAGTAGTGTTATATTTTAAAAAATATATGTAAACATAGATGAGTTAACCCACACTTGAAGTATCATATAATGTTGTGCGATGATGATTGGGTGCACCTCTAAGGCTAGAAATTTGAATCTTTCATTTATCTTGTTTTATTTTCTATCTAAAATTGGGTAACACCTCTCTAAGTGGTTTGGATAGATAAAAAAATAATTTTGGACCTATAATTTTAAAATTTGAATGATTTTCAGTGATAAGAACCTAAATGTTAAACTGATCAAATTTATTTCTTAATCAATCTTTTCGTAATAGTGCACCCATCATCTCAAAATCTTGGATACGCCTCTGCTTATATGATTCGACTGTAGTAAGCAATATGTGCCATATTAATCTATTTTCTCGAGCTTTAACTGTTATTCATAGTTTTGGGAGATCGAATTTCAAACTATTATGTTGGCTTCACACTTGCTTTTGCTGGTGCAGTACACAGACCTCAAGCGATTCTTCCTGTCGCCGTTCTTCCACATAAATGAATCTCACCTGGTGTACAATATGCTTTCACTTTTGTGGAAGGGTATTCAATTGGAGATATCGATGGGTAGTGCAGAGTTTGCATCAATGGTTGCAACCTTAGTTGCTATGTCCCAAGGTGTCACACTGTTGCTTGCAAAATCACTTCTGCTGTTCTTTGATTACGAGAGACCCTACTATAATGAATACTCTGTGGGTTTTTCTGGTGTCCTCTTCGCCATGAAAGTTATCGTCAATGCACAATCAGATGAGTATACCTCTGTACATGGACTTATGGTTCCTACTCGTTATGCTGCCTGGGCAGAGCTTGTTCTCATACAAATGTTTGTCCCTGGTGTCTCATTCCTTGGCCACCTTGGGGGAATACTAGCTGGCCTTCTGTATTTGCGATTAAAAGCGTCATATTCAGGTCTGAATCCAGTTAGACAATTCATGAGAAGCTTTAGCCATGCCCTGAGCTTGCCTTTAAGATTAGTGAAGAGCTTATTTCGAAACCGACCAAGAATTACTGGGAGAGGAACTGCTGGTGGGAGGATTGCACGAAATACACTTCTTACGTGGAGATGTGATGCATGTACATTTGATAATTCAGGTAGGCTGAATGTTTGTGAAATGTGTGGCACAGGTCGTACCGGTGATGCACCATCATCCCCTGGTCCAACAAGTGAGATACGTGATCTATCTTTGGAAGAATTAAGGCGTAGGAGGATTCAACGATTTGCTAGATCATAAGGCAAATTGTTATCAAGTTTAGATGGAAATGTCATAATCGCATTCATGTAGATAGTCAATATGGGGCCTTAGCACCCATCACGATGTTCGTCAGACTCGTGTTATTCTAGATGGTGGAGATGTTATTGAATGTGAACCAATATTGGTTTATGTAAGGGATGGAGAAAATTGCAGAAAATCGAACAATTATCCAATATTTGCCTTATGTAACACGTTGGGATTATTTAGCTACTGTGGTCAAAAAGTAATAACCATAAATGGATTCGAACAATTAGGCAATATTTACGCACCTAAAAGGGTTGGCTATATCAGAGTCATTATGTGTATTAGCTGGTTTTGCTAAGTTGATACTTCATCCATTTCAAAATAAATATTATTTTTCTATTTATTTTATTTCAAAATAAGCATTGTTTTTACGTAATCAAGAAGACATTAATGGTCTTCTTCCAATTTTACTCTTATTCAAACAAAGTGAGTTTTTCATAATCAAGAAACTACTTCCTCCGTTCACTATTATTTGTCCAATATGGAGTTTATTTAGGCTAAAAGATAGAAGGAAAAATATATTTCTGTCTTAATATGCTGAAAGTGACAAATAAAAGTTAAAAATGTATTTGTAAAATAGTAGATAAGTAAAAATGAAATAAGTAGTTTACATAAAAGTGTTCAAGCTAAAAACACTACTTATTTTGAAACAGAGGGCGTAGTTGCAGAGGACCAAGACATTGAACTCTTTGCCTACCATTACTCGATTAAAGACTTTAAAAGCATGAACTTCTTTTCATTTGAGAAGTGTATTTACCTTGAATGTGTACTTCACCTTGACCTAAAACCTGGTAAAATCTTCTAATCTTGTCACATCCATTCTTTAACTATTGCATTGTGCATTTCTTAACAGGCAGAACTGCTACTGCTGTCTCAAATGCGCGAATAAAAACATTATGCACGTTGATAAAGTATTAAAGATAAGCAGATTAAGTACCATAAGTGAAATTCAAGAACGGCGAAAGAAAGCCAGTAGAAGTAATTCAAAACAACAGAAGAAACTCAGTATATTGCGTTTGGGAGAGACGTTCCTCTGGAAACAGGAAAAAGAACCACTAGAATGGAACTTAGAGCATTAATATATATTTTAGTGATTCCATAATGTGCTGTTTGAATAATCTACCACAATCTTCCTGGAACTTTGTCACGCCTGTCAATTGTTGCAGAATTCGACTCAACACCAGTAGCTTTTCCTCAACGTTCTAGATCCACTTCACTCGCACCAGTCAGAATTTAATTGCACGAATGATAATCTCCATTGGTGATACCTTTCTTAGCCTATTATTAGAGCAAGGTTGCAATGTAGTCATTTTTATTACACAACAGCAGCACATAGGAAACAGAACCTTAAATCAAAAAGATCTTGTTTCCATGGATGCACAACCTAGTATGGAGCCAAATGCAGGCTCACACATTGGTCTGATCTCCCTCCACCTTAAAGGTAAACTCAGTGGGTTGCACACTCTAACTGTGCTCAACTTCACAATGTTAAACTTCCCGGTCCCAGATTCCTCCCATCGCAGCACTCTTCCTCCCAAAACATAAATTTCATTTCTCAGTGCAACAAATCCATAATCAAAGACCTCTAGAGGCCGGGGATGGTCAGGTAGAATCACAGGAGGTATCAAACCTCTATGATGCCACTCCCTGTTATCGACATCCCTAGTTTCAATGGAGCTCCCACCCCAATCAACAACTGTGCATATATGACCACCATCAAGCACCTGAATTCCCAAATGCATGGCCCTTGAAAACGGCCAAGTATCATTTACACTTAGCCATGTTTCATCGGATGGATCAAAAACAACAGATGTCTCATGCTCTAGCAGCCCAACAAGGTCCGTTAGAACATAAAATTTACCATCGTATGGTAGGCCTATGCAATCCATCTGGGGACTTGGCAGAGGTGGTAGGTCTTCCCACCTGCAACATATTAAAATATTCAGAAAACCAGTATAGGATAAAATATAAACATTCTTCTCTCTTAGGATTCTGTCAAATTAAATATCAGACCATCCTTTTGCTTCAAAGAGAAAAACGGAGTAGAAGTTAGAAGCAACAAGGAATCGTTTCCAAGATAAATTAACAAGGCACATAGGTTTCTAAAGAACTACGACCCCAACGGCAAATGTAGTCAAAGCATCAAAATTTATTTCCACTGGAGTACCTTTTTTCTTTTCTTTTGATAAAGTTGACGTAGACTACTATAAACGTTCCACTGATACGCATTTTTGAGTCCATGTTTCCATCACCCTTATACTTCCATTAACCTTTTCTTCTTATTTTACTTCTAAATTGGGAAGTGTTTTTCATTTCATAAATATAGTATACGTCGTATATGCCTCTTAAAAGCTTTTCTTATAAAGTTTATTGGTGCTTAAAAGCTTAATGGAAGTACTGTTTTCTCTTAAAATTAGTGTGCGCATTTCAATTTATATGACGGCGTTTGACAGATTTAAGACTGACTTTTGGAACTTGTGTTCTTTAACATGCCATGAGGTTTCCATGGCTATTAAAAGATGTCATTAAAGAATAAAGATAAATTGAGAAGTTTAAAGTTAAATTGTTTCCAACTTTAGAAAGACGGTTTGCACCCTAAAGTTGTCTGGAAAAGTCACTTACACACTCGTACTTTACGGGTGACCTATACACACCCACACCCAATCCTTATTTGAAGTGGTGTTATTTTCACCCTAAAACATACAAAGCCAGTCCCATGGTACAGGGTGATTCACACGCGCCTGCCACATCAGCATTTTGGGTGGTAATAATTACATTTTAAATAAGTATAGAAGGGTAAAAGATCACCCGTAAAGTATGAGTGTGTGAGTGACTTTTTCGGACAAGTTTAGGGTGCAACTTGATGTCTTTTCCCTTTTTTTTTAATAGATTAATAAGGAAATAGTGTCACATAAAATGGAACATACGTACTGCTAAGAAATATGAAATTGGAATGCAGATAAAGGAAAAAAATTCTACCATGTATAAACTATGACCTAATAGGGTGTGGAGGTTGCACATTAGGGTAGAAGGTTAGTAGGTGTGGAGTGTTGTCTTGATTTTTGAGGGGTTTAGCTGTTTTCTTATAGTGTTTTGTTTTTGATTCCATCATCATCGGTTTATTCTGTTTAGGTTATCACATTATTTTGTGGTTACTTTTGTTTCCTTATTAGTTATTTTGTTTCTCCACTGCCGTTTTCCTTTTCATCATTCTAATATGTTATACTCGGGCGGAGGGTCCTCCCGAAATAGTCTCCTAACTTCCACGAGTATAATCTGTGTAAATTCTATCCTCCCACCTATGGGATTCCACTGGGTATGTTGTTGTTGTTGATGTTGACCTTGAAAAGTTGCAAAATTAAATTTCCATGAACAAAAATATAAGTTACATGGATACTCCTATAGAAAATAATTTGACAAGGAAATGTAATGGAACAATGTAGATTCATTTGGACTGGAAAAATAAATTCTCAAAACTGGCAACTAATCAGGAAATTGCAACAATCTACAAATCCTAATATGTGAAATTGTTTAGTGAATTACACGAAGGTGATGATTAATGAGCAATTGGTTCCATCACATCATTTCCAAGAAGGGAGTATAGACAATGATTCACACCCTATTAACGAGACTGAGTAAGAAATTGATCCATCAAATAGGCACCCCAAACTGGTGGAGGTCGCAGATTAGGGGTGTGTATCGCTCTGTTCGGCTCGATTTTAAGTATTATCGGTTCGATTTATCGATTTTTAAATATGTTAAACCAATAACCAAACCAATAAGATATTTGTTATCGGTTTTCGGTTTAACCGATAAGAAAATGCTTTCAAAACAAATATATGATTTGTCCAATAATTTTACGCGTACAAGCATACATCGAAAAAAGCAAATCAGACTAAATTGCAACAATAAAGACTAAAGTAATACTAAAACCTAAAGGGTAAATTCAGAGGCTGAAGTTAAGTAATGTTAATTGTGTAAGGTCCTTATAGTTATAGTCTAATATAGTAATTATATTAGTAATATTTTTTGTTTGATATTTATGTATGACTAAAAATTAAAATAGTAAATTATTATATTCTTAATGGGTTATTGGTTAACCCAATATTAAAAAACCAATATCGAACCAATAACTCAATACTTTTTTTATAAAACCATTAAATAACCGTTAACCCAATAACAACAAACCAATAACACCTTTTTCGGTTCGATTTCTACACACCCCTAATTAGGATAGATGGGTAGTAGGTAGTTGCGCTTTGTCTCGCTTTTTGGCGGTTTAGGCTTGGTGGGAGCCTGGGAGCACCGTGTTTGTTGTATTATTAGTCTTATACATGTATTACCTTTTCAATTACTGTATCATTTCGTTGTTGTTACTGTTTCTTTTCATTGAATGCCATATGTTGCTTTCCTCATTAATTGACATGTTTTCTTCACTGTCACATTCTTTTTCATAAATACTTTGATATGTTGCACTTGAGCCGAGGGTCTTTCGAAAACATCTCTACCTCCACGAGGCAGGAATAAAATCTACGTACACTCTACCCTCCCCAAACCCCATTTGGGGGATTACATTGGGTATGTTGTAGTATTGTCAAATGCGCGCTTAAGCCCATAAGTGAGGCTCGAAACGTGTTGAGTGCTTTGCCTCGCTTAAAGTACACTTTAGTGTCGTCATCAATGTTCTAAGGCATACTTCTCTTTGCCAATGAACCTCTTGTGAAGGGGAGACACTAAGCAATTGATATTTCATTTTATCGTTTTTTTTTTTCAATTTCTTTGTTCTTATATTTGTCATTCACGCATATACTTATTAGTATAGGACTAAACATATATATTTGTATTTGTTTCTCCCCTAACGAACCTTAGAGCTTTTTTGCTTTTGATAACACTTGTATGTTATTGTTGTATAGGCACCCTAAAGTGGTGTTACAAAGGGTAGATGCTAGTCCAAAAGGCTTAAAATTCAAATAGGTGGTTGGACCGTAGGCAAGAGACTACATGGATAGGGAAAATGCCTAACGACATCGACATAAGAGGGATCAAATAGGAACTAAAATCATTGTGAAACCAAGACATAAGGATAAAGTTGCAAAGTAAAGAGATTCGATTATAGCCCGATAAGAGTATTTTGTTGGGACCAATTTGGATGGAGGACACAATTTTACTATTGATACATATAGATGAGAACTTAAATTAAATGCTAGGATGATATCAATAACTTTG